GTTTACCTTCTCGGCAGGTGGACTGGGACGTATCCTGAAAGGATTTCACGTGATCGGGGGTCACATGATGACGCTCATCCTGTAAATAGCAATATCGCCACTCAGTGGTCAACAACCTCCTTTCCCTTCCTCAAGGATTAGAATAGCCATCAATGCCATACAGTACTCGCAGCCAGCCATCTCCCAGAGCTTTCTCCCTGGTATAATAATTCGCACACTAACATATCCTACACATCTTCCCCGGCTCTTTTGTTTGTTGAGGTCATCTGTCAGACAGTTCACTTTCTTTCTTTCTTTCTTTCTTTCTTTCTTTCTTTCTTTCCTTCTTTCCTTACTTCTCTCCTTCTTCATGTTTCTCTGTCAGTAATTGTATCTGGTGGCAACGCTGCTTGTTTTAACACTGAATCTCGATGAGTCGCGTTCTATCCGGCGCAAGATCCGCCTCGTTTGATTTTTCTGTCATAGTTCAATAATTAATGGAAGTTAGGCAAAGTTTTAGCTCATCAGCTAACGAATCCCGTAGACGTTGCGGTCTTTCACAGTCGCTCCCCGTCTGTCTCGAAGGAGGACCATTAACGTAGGCCCAGGAGCTTGAAGGCATAAAAAGCCAGTTCTCCTCCCAGCTTCCCAGCTTTGCTTCTATCGCTCCATCCTCCCTTTCTCCTCACCAAGGTCTTCCCAGCTTCGTAAATCACCTGACATTACACTTCCATCTCGCACGTGATCGTATGCCGCGAAAATACAAGTGGGGTGGAACTATGGTGCATCAGCCAATCATTGGCGACAGTTAGCCGCCCCAGACTGCCCTGAAAGGAAGTCGTCGACAAAATGTTGAGTAACACCCATTTTCCACACCCACCCTCGGCCTGTAGATATCAATATTTGTATCTCTCAAGGCATCAATTTAATTTACATAAGCCTGCAACTTTCCGATAGTTATTTGTTGTTCTCAAGGCATTTCCCCCAAACTATAGGCATTTGCAATGAAATTCTTCCCTGGGGCATTGTTTTTCCATGCTCAACCGGCCATAAATTTAAGTATTCCCAGAGTTGTTTCCGTACGGCATTCTTCTTCTGCTGAATGTGTTCGGTTGGCCATGATTTTGATGTAGCTCCTTGAGGCATATAATTTCCCACCACGCTTTAAATCTGCAATGTCATGATTCTGAAGACTACTTGGGGCCCAATACTGGTTCCAAGTTGTGTGGACTGCCCTCGGGATTTCTTTTCTCTCAGGGAAAATAAAATTGAAAAGTGAGCCAATTAAAGTTCTTTAGAAATATCTTATGCCCCATGGCAAAGGCTAGGAACATTGGGCCTCAAGTACTCCCCAAAACCGTGACATTGTACATTTTTAGTGTGGCCCCCCTTAAGGTTGAAGAGTGTTCTAGGAATAAGAACTCCCTCAGGTTTAAAAAGTATTCTGAGAAGTAAAAATGCCTTGGTGTATAAAATGTCCTCCAAATATCATGACATTTGGAGAAAAAGTGTGGTCTTCCTCAAGTTTAAAAGTCATTTCAGAAACCAAAAGTGCCTTGAAATTATAAAACATTTCAAGGAATAATAACATTGGAGAAAAGGCGTGGTATTCCTCAGGAATCATAAATGCCTTGAAATTATAAAACATCTCAAGAAATCATGACATATGAAGAAGAGGTGTGGTCTTCCTCAAGAAATAATGATATTTAAAGAAAATATATGATCTGCCTCAAGAAATAATGGAATTTGGAGAAAAGGTGTGGTCTTCCTCAGGAATCATAATGCCTTGAAATTATAAAACATCTCAAAGAATCATGGCGTCTGAAGAAAATGTGTGGCCGTCCTTAAGTTTAGAGCATGGGGTTTGAAAGTTCAAGGGAATCACAAAAATCTGACCCAGAGAAGTGGATTTTTAATCCCCCCTGAGAAGCTAGTTACGGCAAGCCGTGGTTGATAAACTAACTAAAATGCCTAGAGAGGAGAACCCCTCAGAAGATACAAAAATTGATGGTCATTGCTCACCAGGAAAGAGAATGCCCCTAGGAAAATGGTTGGGGTAAATGTTACAAGAAAATGCCCTGAGAACAATACATAGATACTAGGTGTGGGTTTCCCTCGAGTGCTGCCCTGAGAGATACATATAAAACCAGGCATTTTATACAAAAGTTCGTGGTCTGGGACCCTGCCCAGCGCGGCGGTCTACCAGCATTTAACAGCCCTACATCCTGGCAACCTCACGATCTGATTCTAGCATATGCAAAACAAAAATCAGAGAAAAAAGAAAGAAAAAGTGTATATAAAAAAGTATTGCTTACAATGATGTCTTCTTTTATAAGTCTTCTTTATCTTGTCTTTTTTTATACTCTGAAAGCGAAGAATTTTGCACGATGTCTGCTTCAATCATATACTATTGATAGTCAAATGCACATAGCGCCTTGAACCCGCCGTCTCGATTTAGTCAATATAAGAGCCAAGATGTGCCGGGTGGCTGACAAAGAAGTTTGTCTTGATGCTATTTTCAGCTTTCAGAATGACATCATCAGCGGAATGAACCAATCATATTTGTAACTTCTACAAATTTGATAAAGAAATTTTCTTTTTTTTATCAAGCACAGCAGTTCACTGAATGTCAACAATTGCATTTCCTCCCTCTTAGTATTTGGATTCATGCACTGATATCTCCTCTTGTCATTGTAACATGATGATAATATTTGCAGGGGGAAGGAGAAGCACTTTACAACCTCGATTGCCACAATGTAATGTCTTGGAGAAGTTTATATATCTGACATACTGACCCTTCAGATGGTCTTGAAAAGCAAATTTAGTACTGTGGCAGGATTTTCATGCTTTGAAATATCGTTCCATGTCACCCAGACATTCAGGGCATTCCATGCCAGTAGGAGTGCGAATTGGGAAGTCAGTATAGACACTTTAAGTGGGGTCCTCTGGTTTAGGAATTCACACCAGATGCCTGGGTACGGCCACGTGATTCAGAGCAAGGCGAAACTCAAAAGATTGTATGCAATCTTCCACCAATTTTCAACAGGGACAGCACTGACATCTCAGTTCTTGAACTTGAGAGCGACCAAGGCTTCTCTCTTGGGCAAAACAGAAGAATTGTCGGGTTCGAATGCGGTAGTCCTTCCATGATAGTTAGTCTCAATGATATTTTGTTGCCATTTCATGCATGATTGTGACACTCTTTAGGATTGGCCTTCATCAGCATCCTTCCAAATTCCCTAACTTTCATAGGGGAGCTACGCTTCACTGACTCCGCGGGAGTGGGGGGAACCATATTAGAGCATTCCCAGCAGCTGGGGCAAATTTTACTGATGAGAGACATGAAGTAACAGATGGACTCGGCTTGCTAGCCGCTGCTCAGTATCACCTAATTTAATAAATTAGGAGGCGACCGAGCTAACTCAATGAGCAAAAGGCCTATCAAGATCTGGGAGAAGAGCACACCATAAGACCAAACCGAGCTTTACCGCCGGGGACAGAAACCATAGCCTAGAAATAATCGATGCAGCAGGGCGTTCGTAAGTGGTCCAGCCTGGATTTTGCTCTGCCGAATCATCTAGACATCGCGGTTAGCGAGGATGAAATTAAGGGGCTGGGAATAACGTACCTCTAGAGCTAAAGGGAATGCTGTACATATTCCCAAGGGATAGTAGAATGCTGGCGTATCTGAAACAAGGTTTTAGCATTTATCCATCACCATCTCGGTAGGGGCTTCTCACCCCCGCGCCTTAAGCCTGACAGACCAATGCCAATGACAACAGCATTGATGCAGATAAAGAGAACGAAGATTGATATCTCAGGCAAACGGTGAGGCTGGGGGCGGTGAACGGTAAGCAAGATGAGATGCACCATGCTTAGCACGATGAGTGCCGCCGACAGAAGCGCATATGAGATATTAGGATACATTTTGCATGAAAAGGCAGCCAAGTTGGTCCATTTTGAAATGATCCGTCGCGGAGCGATGCGGTGGTTTATAGCTCTCGGGCAACCACTCTCTGTGCGCCTCGAATGGGCTTTTTCGACGGTCGAGGGGGTATGCCATCCTCATTTCAGCAAATTTTAGACATCTTGTCTAGGGCCTGTACAAATAGTTACACTATTGTTGTTACATCTGTTGTGATCCCTTTTGAGGATGGCACGGACTCAAGCTGGACGTGTATCTCGCACTCGCTCTCCCACGGTGATCGACGCAAGTTTCCCCGTGCCCTCTCAGCCTGGCGCCCCTGACTGCACTTTGCATACTCCCGGTCTTTTCCGAGGCATACTGCAATGACATAGATAGTCCTCATTGGGCGAAGGAAAATCCAAAAACACTCGTTTTCGGGCTCAACTCTTGCCGGGGGTCTAGGCCATCCTTGCCCCCTCGCACGCACGGCCCGCAGCTTTGGCGAGGAGAAACCGAGAAATCGAGAAGTGTTGGCAATGTTGTAGAGGTCAAAGCATCAATTTGCCAAGACAAAAACCATTGCATCGCAGCAAAGCCGGCTCTTTCACTGCACTCTTTCGCAAAAGTGTATCGTCGAAAAGGCCTGCAAAATGTCAATCCACAACACTGAACAGATTAGGTCGGCACTGCACATTCTTTCGACAGCACCCGAGGATATTATTCGAATTGTTCGAAATGAGGTGCTGATTGTCTTTGTTGACCTGCGGAAGAAATTACAAATCCCCCGAGACAAGACCATCGAGGCACTTGACAAACTGTTCGAAAAGCAAGAGAAAATTAAAGGTCTTTTGGAAATGCGTGCTTCTGAGAGAGTCAAGCTACCTAAGTCTCTTCTAGATATCCGATTTCATCATATCAGCGCTGTTGAGCCTCGCAAGAGAACCGTCGAATCAACTATTCGAGCCCTGTTCGCTTACCGTTCGGTGTGTGACGAATTTGAAGAGTACGAATTGAAGACCCGGCATACATCTAGAGTGCAAGAGCTGTCAGCAAATCCGCTTAATGCTGAGAAGAAGAACAATGGCCTTATCACCAAGTTTTTGCAAGATAAAGGCCTACCCGACAATCGGATGGGGGCTATCAAGACATCCATCAAAATCCGGGTGGCGGAGGAATGGTTCGGCGGTGCGGGAGTATCGCTGCTGTTCATGAATATTTACACAATCTTCCGACAACTACAATATTCTGACCTGCGCGATGTGATTACATTGTTATCATCACCTGAGAGCATGTACAGTTCAATTGCGGACCTAGGTCGGTCTTGCTCTAAGTACGTCGAGGAAGGTCAAATCTATTATGATGGTAAGTTCGGAAGGCGAGAAACCGACTGATGGTAGAAGCTAAAAGCCAAACTCAGACATTATCGGCCCCAAGCCCACGGCTTCCGGTGAACTAAGCGCTCCGAATGGTACCGCTGGCTCTCAGGAACGGGTGGAGCCAGCCATGGGCCTCCGCCCCTTGCGTACTGGTTCAAGCTCTGCCGGGCTCTTTTCTCCCGGACTTTCCGATGAGACGGAGAGAAGTAGGGGGGACAGCCGAGCCTCAAAACGCCAACGCTCCTCAGATTCCAATGGCCACCCGTTACAAAGGCCGCCGGCTCGATCTAACATACCTTTCAGCGATTCTGCACGTCATGATGCCGCGGCTTCATATTCCATGAGGGACGGCACGTTTGTTTCACGGGATGACACCCAACCTTATCCTCCCGCCGGCGGAAATGGGGGCCCGCTGCGCCAGGCGGAAGATGCTAACTATACAGACTGGCATCATACCGTCATGAACCCCTTCCACCACCACCCGAGCGGAGGCTCCGTATATTTCTAATTGTCCCCTTCCAGTTCTTCTGTGCTCCCTCGGCGGCTCTCAGGTTCTAGAGCGGGTACTGTTTCGTGGACTTGTACCACAGAAACGATGGGATGAGAGCGGGGACGTGCATGAGATATTGCTCCATGATTCTGGCCTTGATAAGACGATCGTTGATCTATTCTCGAGCCCTGCCAGGCTCAAGCAAGCGGTCGAGTCTTGTACTCAGCTTGGTTTGATCACACAGCGCATGTGGAATAATTCGCCGGTATACTCAGTCTGCGAGGGGTTACGGCTCAAAATATCCGGCTCCATTGGTAGTGGGAGGTTAGGAAAAATCGGATTGATATTTACAACCCACATCTATCCGCGCGATGAAATTCTAGACTCTTTGTAAGTCAGTAATGTCAGGGTCTCCTATCCTATGCTGACATAACGCTCAGGTTTTATGACCACGGGAAGCTGCTACAGCCCTACCTTGAATTTACTTGGCAATATATACAGGAAGCCCGCGAGTTAACTCTGACAAACGAAGCCCGGAATAGCTTGATGGAGGCATCTTTAGCAGCATGCAGATTGGTTGGCCCCTCTCACGCTGTTAAAATAATTTCGCTACTAGAAAAAATCCAAGGCTCCAATTTACCAGGATATTTGCAAATGGCTATTGTAACTCAGAAGAGTATTGCCCTGCGGTATCTGGGGAGCCACGACAAATCCGACGATGTGATAAATGGAGTACTGGAGAAAATGTCACCCGAATCGAGGGACGTCAGATCCCACTGTTCATATGGTCGTTTGTTACTCTCTCGAGCGGAAAATGCATTACAGCGCAATGAATTCAAAGAGGCAGCGCTCCAATTGACAAGCTGGACGATACATTTGCATCCGTCCGGCCTGGAGCTCAAAGTGGCTCGATTAAAGAACACGGCACTTGGAAGGGTATTACGGTATACCGGAGATTTTGCAGCAGCCTACGGATATCTTAAAGAATGTCTCAAAATGGTTGATGGCAGTGCCCGCTATCATATAATGCACCACCTGGCGGACGTTTATTGCGAATTAAACAAGGCGGAAGAAGCTGAAAATTTAGTTGTGGACGAAGTTTCGCGGCTAAGAGCAGATGGCAAGCAATGCTCAAAGCGGTTCCGACGCTTGGCCCTTCCGTTAGCCGAGGCCTATATTAGACAAGGAAGGCTAGAGGTAGCCAGAAGTATCCTCCAGGAGCTTCTTGAGACTTTCAAGCTTTCGGTGGGGGCGAGATTCGATGTGACCGATCAGTTGGGCCATGTGCGTTCAGTGATTAGTCTGGCGCGTGTCAGTTGGTACGAGAATCGATGGGACGAAGCTCATCAAAGTTTGGAGTTTGCACTTAGTCTTACGGGAAAGTACGACACGTTTTTAGATGGCAACTTCTACAGCGGAGTTATTTCTCTCTTCCTGTCTTTGGTAAAATTCAACCTCGGCGACCCAGGGGCCCTGGAAATATTTGCATCGACAGAAGATATTGTCAAGAAGCAGGCTAAACGACATTTCATGCCAGGAATTGGGACGTATTTCCTGGAGCAATTGCGCGCTTCGGGGCATGGGCTTTTTGTGACCAATAAATATTAAGTAAGATGCCCTTCGGACATAATGCCCACGTTCCTGCAACCCAAAAACTTCCCAAGACACTGCAAAGATGGAAAGAAACTACGAGGTTCGAGAGCCACAACATACTGTTTCCTCAGCATACTAACCTTATTCAGGGAGCTATCCACCGCTTAAACACGAGGCGAGCGATCGCAAAACCAAACCTGGATGACATGCGTGGCTCAGATGACATGGTGGAATGGTTAAGGCTTCTTGGCCACTCGGTACGTACATTATACCGCCCGCATAATAAAACGCTACTGAGCACAAGCATAGACGGGAAACATGAGCCGCTTGAACGTTATACACATCGCCGGGACGAAAGGGAAGGGTAGCACTTGTGCATTCATCGCATCCCTTCTTAAAGCGCACGGCGATGACAGCGGATACCCTCAGAAAATAGGGTTATACACATCCCCACACATAAAGGACATACGTGAGAGAATTCGTATTAATGGTGAACCGATATCGAAGGATCTTTTCACTATCCGCTTTTTCGAGGTCTGGGACAAGCTGCCGAGCAAAGCTACAGACAAGTTGGATATTCCGCGTTACCTTCAACTCTTGGCCCTGCTCTCCTTTCATGTATTTATCAAGGAGAAGGTAGACGTAGCAGTTTACGAGGCTCACTTAGGTGGAGAATTTGATGCAACGAACATCATAAAAATGCCGACCGTAACTGCCATTACTTCAATTGCGATGGATCACGTCAATCTACTGGGACCAACGATTGAACGTATTGCTTGGCACAAAGGAGGAATTTTCAAGTCAGGGAGCGTTGCCCTTTCAGCCCCCCAGGAACGTGCTGTTGCGGAAGTACTCCAAGAACGAGCTGACGAAAAGGGAGTCCGACTCGAATTTGTCAGTCTAGACAGTACAATTCCGATCAATGCCCTAAAGCCGGAACCTCAGAGATTAAACTGCTCCCTAGCTCTTGCAGCCGTTCGCGCTTGGCTAGCTAGAAAGGCACCTGGACTGGGTATCACTGATTATAGCATCGCCAACGGCATCGAGCAGTTTTACTGGCCGGGACGGTATCAGCAAATCATAGACCGACATTACCAGTGGTTTCTTGACGGAGCGCACAATGAACTAAGTCTTCGGTTAGTTGTGGAATGGTTCGCGAAGGCAGCGTCGGAATATCAAAGGTGAGTGATATCCTAACCGGAAACTACAGACTTTATGCATATTGATGATCTCTAGTGACACGACACCCACACGCATCCTTATATTTAGTCATTTTTCAACCCGAAATGGTATCCATCTTTTGCGAACCCTTGCAACATCTCTACGAGACAAAAATATTCAAATGCAAAATGTCATTTTTAGCTCATATGACGAAAGGCAAGATGGCCGAGCCAGAATTGGTAAAACTCACTCACTACAAGGTAAAATGGGTACTAACTCAACCCGCAGACAGAAATCTAGGCAATCGCTTCTCGCCAGAACTTCAAAAGAGTTATGCAGATTTTTGGGAAGAATTCGATCGAACGGCAACAGTATCATGCGAACGGACAATCGAGGAAGCTTTGCACCAAGCTAGGAAAATTGGTGATGAGAATAACGGCATGCAAGCTTTGCTAACAGGAAGCCTGCACCTAATCAGCGGGGCGCTCTCCCTTCTGGAGTCGTAAGACCGTCTTCTACGATTGAAATCGTCGAGGTTACCCTTGAAAGCGAGTGAGCAGGAAACAGTTGAAAGTTGTGTTTTATCCCGCGTGCTAAGCGCCTTTAACGGCACAGCGAAAAATTTCGAGAATTTAATGGAAAGTACCAGTGTACAGGGCTGGCTCCTCCTTGACAATGCGAAATTTCGTCCTAACCCAATGTACACTGCGAGCCGGTGGCTTCTCAGTTGAATCCGAGGCAAGAATAACTGATGCTGACACGTGATATTACCCCGCTTTCATGTGTTGGGTGTCTGTAGTTGGATTGGTTGCGAGCTCCTGTATGTATTTTACAGAACATGACTAAGCGAAAGAATTCGTTGTGGTGCAAGCCGGAGCCGGAAAAATAGCTCGGCGTGGCCGTTACTAGATCCCCAAAAATTAAACTTGAACCTGAAATCAAATAAAAAATGTGCGCTTGTCCTCCTAGTCTTATTCATACTACCAAACCCGGAATCCCTCCTCATGGTTGGTGCAGGGGAATCTTCCGCCAGGATATGCACCCGTACAGCCTCCAGGTTGCAGTGGGAGCAGCCCATCTCCCGATTCCAGCGGTGTATAGTTTCCCAGATCAGCGCTGGACCTATGCAAGCCACCAGTTGCAATTGGAGCCCATCCCTCAATTCCAGTGGTGAATAGTTTCCCAGATCAGCAATAAGGCGTCTGGTGAATCCGGAATCCTTTTGCGCAGCTTTAAGCATGGGTGACCAGCCTGCATTCGAACGAGGCAATAAGTGCAAGGAGTCTGGAAGTCAGCCAATGTAGCGTGGAATGGCTTGCGATGGCTCTGTTCAACGCGAAAGTGAAACGGGCGGATCAAGTTCAGCATGCTGTCCCTAAACGATGTCACTCTGATCATACCTAATTCCGAAGCTACTTTGAAAGGAGTCTCGGATGAGGCCATCGCTAAATGTATTTGGTCCTGAGATACATGATGCAATCACTGAAAGTCCCATACGCAGGAAGGAATTGGAGGAAGGAATGCGTGTAACGGAATGTGTGTCAATGATACTCACAAGGGATGGGGCTATTATCAATCTGGCTCTTGGCTTAGACGGAGGAGTTAAAATACAAAACAAGCTATATACCTAGAACGCTAGTTGTGCTGTTGTTATACTAAGTTACTCTTCCTTCACTTTCCCGTCGGTGACGTACAGTTTAGTACCAGATTCGACCAGTCCCTCCTGCCCATTAGGCATGCTAACAAGCTGCCTAAACTTCTCCTTCCCTTCGCCGTCTCTCTCAAGGACAGTAACATTGCAACCTTTCCAGTATACCATCTGACCTCTGCCAGTAATCATTGTAACACGGTTCACATCGACACTCTCGAAATCTATTGACGAATCGAGAACTTTCGCTTCGAAAGCCCAATGAGATATTAGATGTGAAACAACCACGAATGCAGGGGCTTACCATCAAGAATTCCTCTTTCTCGACCCTGTTCTATTGGGAGTAGATCTAGACAATCCTAGTCGCCGCTTGGGGCTACTCTATCTGAGTACTGAGTGGTGAAGTAACGAGTAGGGTGAATACGGCGGTTGAAGTTATCTGGGGTTCGTGAATCTGACAAGACCAGATGAAAGGCCGTTTGCGCTTGTAGGAGTCCTGACTTGAAATAATGAGATCAATGAATTTGGAGACAACGTGAGGCTGGGGAGTGACAAAACCCATAACATCGGCGATGGGATACCCACGTCGAAGCTGGTTATCGGTCGCAATGTGCAGAACTGATAGGAAGTCAAGTAAAATATATCACTTAACAGCCATTCAATAAAATGGTAAATGTTGCTGCCCAACCTCGGGAGAGTACGAAGAGCAGATTTTATTGCTGTTCTCCTTGCCCCACCCATGGGGCAAGAGTCGCAACGTTTTTTTGACAGCAGTTTCGATTTGGAAACGACATGCGCTTGTCCCCCCGATACAAAAATCACTAAATCCCTCTTTGCAATCCCTCATCACCAGGAAACAATTGTACAAAATACTGTAATCCAGTTTGACCTAAGTCGCCAAAGTACCATTCCATCCTAGTCACAACACATGATATTTCATTTTAATAGGTCATACTAGCCTTGTTTTTAGACAGTACGAAAAAGAGCGATAGCTGATGCGTTCTTCTCTGACAGCCAGCACGCTCTTACCACATCTCCCACACGACGAGTTGAGTTGGCCAGTTTAATCCTAAATGGGAATAGCCGGCCTTCCTCAAAATACTCTTATCAATCTCCCTGTTTTGTTCGCGCTTATTATCCGTCGCGAACAAATAGGATTAATCTCCACCTGGTTCCTTGCTCGGCGGTTCTATCCGCTACCATAATCCTCCCTGTGATTATATATATCAGCATCTGCTCCCAACGAGCTATCTTCTCTCGCAGGTATCATACATCATAACTTCCTAACAATTCTGCATTTTTGTTCCCCTGTTTGCTTCCCATCACATAATATTACCATACCAACCTAATTTTTCTCCCCCTACAACTCCTAGTTAATCTCACACCAACTCAACGGTCTTTTATACCGTCAAAATGGCGGGACTTTCACAAGAAGATCGCAACATTATCAAGAACCATCCTCTAACCAACTTAGTTGATCGCTTACGAGGCGCGCTTCAGGAAGCTGAAAGAATATATGAGTCGCGTCTAATCTATGATGGCGCTCATGAGAGCCTTGACCAACTCTATCGAAATGCGATTTCAAAACTCCTCTCTGCTTTACAGGGAGAGGATGCAGCTTACAGCCTTCGCTCGCGAGTGAGTAACGGGGATATGGTGTCTGATCTACTACACTTAGTCGAGCGTCTCCGAAAGGCACAAGAAAACTTCAAGTACGACGACTACCGGCTGCTAGTGAACCTGGTTATTCAAAGGCCTCCGACTGAATCCCAGAACGTCGAAACCTGGAACTTCGACGTCTGGAACGCGGTCTTTTGTCTTATTGACGCCGTCTCGCGAGGCACTCCCCCTCCTCCTCCTCCTCATCCTACATCATCGATCCAACAGACGCCCTGGCTACGCAACACTAGCAGTTTCGTCAATTCTACAGAATATCGAAAGCACGTTGACATTGTGCTGAAGGAGGAACTTGGGGAGATACACGTCGACATCCCTAGATTCTTTGACGCATACTTTGGAGACATTCCACAACTCACTGCAGTTTCACAAGCGGTGTTGGAGGAGTGCGAGAAGGGAGACAGCCCCCTTTACCGTGAAGACGAGGGCTGGAAGGGCTGGCCTGAACTTGCAGCCGAAAGAGACGTTCTGAAATGGCTGGCTAACATCATCGCTGAGCTCGTACGATTAGCCGAAGCACAAGAGCCGTCCTGGAAGATCGACCGTAGACCTCTCGCACAGCCAAGCCAGTCACTACAAGGGTCTGTCGCGGAGAGAAAGCTCGATGTCGGCCTTGTCGATGATCTGACGGCCACAGTGGACTCGAGATGTCACTGGTCGCAGATCCTGGTGCCAGGGAGCTGAAGAACGACCCGAAATACGACAGGAAATCCGGTGCATGGTTTGATCTTGGCAGGTACGCCCGAGAGGTCCTCGCTGCGCAGGACACCCGTCGTTTCGTGCTCGGGTTCACCCTCTGCGGGCAGTTCCTACGACTGTGGAACTTTGACCGCCTGGGCGGAATCGCATCGGAGGAATTCAACATCAACCGGGACGGCCTTCGATTTGTGTCTGTTATCCTTGGATTCCTCTTGATGAGCCGGAAACAGCTTGGGTTTGATCCTACCATCGTCGCGACCGGGACCGAACGGTATATTGAAATTGATAGGAACGGTACGAAGGAACGGCTGATTATCGACGAGACTGTTGGACGAGCACGTTGTGTTGCCGGACGAGCCACAACCTGCTGGAAGGTATACTGTGAGACAGACAAATTACGGACGCCGCTGGTTGTCAAGGACTCCTGGCAGTATCCGGAACGCACTGAGGAAGGAGAGTTGCTGCGAGAGGCGATGGCGAAGGGGGTCAAGAATGTCGCGAGGTATTATCACCACGAGACAGTTCGCATTGACTACAAGGATGATGATGTCTTGACTATCAGAAAGGGCCTCGGTATTCCGATTTCAAAAGATGAGAAGGGTGGCTTTAACGCGAGAGTGCGGCGTAGTAGGTCTCAAAGAGGAAAAAAGAGCCAGGGCAGCACCGCCGGCCAGAAGCGATCATCTGACTGCGTGGACAAGGCATTTCCTCCTCCTCCAAGTAAGCGTACCCAGTCAAGTTCTCCATCCAAATCTGCAGGCGGCTCAGCCCCATTCAATCGAGTTCACCGCCGCGTCGTTATCCGGGATTACGGGAAACCAATCTATGAGAGTAGTTCGAAGGCTATACTTCTCACTGGGCTGACCCGCTGTATTGAAGGATACATGTCACTCCATGATGAGGCTGGCCTCATCCAATGCGACGTTTCCCCCCGGAACCTGATGGTGAATGAGGACAAGGACAACCCATCATGGCCTGCCTTTCTGATCGACCTTGACCTGGCAATCGAGTTAGAACGGGATGGGTCTTCCGGCGCACGGGGCAAAACGGGCACCAGAGCGTTCATGGCCATCGGTGTCTTGTACGGCGAAAAGCATTGTTTCATGCATGATCTGGAGTCGTTCTTCTGGGTTCCTTTTCTGGATATGCATTCACTATGAAAGCCCAGGGAAGGGGAATCACTGTCGAACGGTTTGAGAAATGGAATTATATGAGTACTGAAGAGCTGGCGGCTGCGAAGCAAGGAGTGATAAGTGAGGAGGGGGATTTTCTTCGAATTGCAGAAGACTATTTTACTCCGTATTATCAATCATTGATCCCTTGCGTCAACCGATTACGGCGCCTTGTCTTTCCAGACGGCGGACGGTGGAAGAAACCAAATTTCAACCTATCCCGGAACATGATTGGAACACTTCAGCATGCACAGGATAACTCAGATGCTGTAAACTAGTAAAGATTCTGCGTATTGAACGGAAGAGGTGGAAGAAGTGAAAGAAGCGAGAGATTTCGTGTTTTTCCTGCAGCGTTCGACTAGTCCCCCTTTTCCCTTTTTTCTGTTTTTCCCGCAGGTTCCATAACTTCCGTACTTTCTACAACTGGCTATTTTTTCAGCAACTGTTTGATTTTCACATGTATCTTTTGCTTTCTCTTGGAAAGTCTAAAAGTTTCAGTAAATCAAAAGGAAAATTAACACTGAAGAAATAGAGCATCGGAAAATTAGAAATTCTGAATGTTGAGTGTGAAAATCAAGAAAACCTAAGCTACACTTCTATCAGACCATCCCAAACTTTCCCTCACAGTTTTATTGCCATCTGGCAATAACCAATCACCAATCTTTCGTCCTATTTGAAAGTGTTTTTCGATATGATCAAAACGTTCTGTCCAGGAATTCTGACCCTGACCATTTCTCCCAATTTCACTTGCTGACACAACAGCTTTGACATTAGCTTCTCTGTAACCGTGTTCACTGCAGAGGTGCTTTTGTAACTTGTCTTTCCTATCAAAGCACCGGGCACATTCATTCTCGCTGGAATTTGTAGACAGAGCCTTAGCAGGGTCATCGGGACAAAAGTTCAGGTCAAGGATTTTGGGGCAACGCCAGGCTTGCATTTGAAAATGTTCGGTATTTTCGTGCCGAATCCATTCTTTTTTATTTCCAAATTCCACGAAGCATTTAGTGCATGCGTATTGAATATGAGGTATTTCAGGGAACAGCCAGTGCATAGCTTCTGTCGTGGTTGCCGCTCGAGCACCATATTGTCCGTTCCACAGAATGAGGTTGACGCCAGTTTCAGTAAAAGACCAGTCCAGGAGCATGCCGAGGGATTTGATGTTGCTGTAGAGGCGTTGTCCTTGGCGACGGACTAAAGCAACATGTAGAAACTCGAAGTCCGGCTTTTCTAATTCCTTGAACTGTTTCAACGCCTCATTCTCCAGCTCTTCAAGGTTTGCAATGGCCTTCCCATTTTCCAGGCAGAGTTTGACTATTTTTGACAAAGACGGGAGCACGCCGTAAAAACCAGGATTGTGGTGTGGATATTCGCCGGCATTTTGGATAAGGTTTTGAAGCTCTTGCTCTTTCGATTTCTGTAAGGAAATATAAGTTAGTTGCCCACGGCCTCTTCCTGGGAATTGAGGAAAGTTCAGCAGCGGTACTTTGTTTTCAGAGAGGAACACACGTACCTCACCGGTTGGGAACATCGTTCACTTATCTCTCGTAGCGGCAGAAATAGAACATTGGAAGACTTCATTAGCTTGTCGAACGGGGTTTGGAGTCAGAATACATTTTGGGAAATGGATAGATTGCTGGGGAGCACAATCCTTTTATGAGCCAGCTAGCACATCTACCAGCGACTACGTGCAGCCCATATCTGGGGGCTTATCCGGGTAGAAGTTGGCCTTCAAGTGCAATGCAGCATCCGGCATTAAGATTGGAAGGTTTGCAAGGAAGAGATCGGCAGCAGGACGGCTAGTTAGACCTCAAGAGGAAATTTTTTTGCCGCAGCCTGCTTTAGTTAAGTATATGGTGGCCAAAAGTTGTGTCACGTTAAATCATTCCAATTTAGGCAGAGCGCATGAACGCCTGCCAATACCCCGCCTACCGCCATCAGCCGTCTGCCATCCATTCTTCATCGCCATGGATAGGTCCCAAAGTTGTGTGCCAAATGCAAGAGTGTCGCCCTCAGCAGGCTTCAACCTCGTCATCTCCAGCCCTTCGTACTTTCAGATTTCTCCTCCCCGCCACGGTTACTCTCATAGACAAGCCTCGCAAGACACGCAAGTATAGTGTCAAAATGGAAAAGCAATTGTATGAGATATTTTCTGGTGATGGAGTCACCGATGCCATGCTGTCTGTAGCCGCCAGACTATTCAATGAGAACTACGGAACCTGGGGAGAGCATTCACGGAACCCAGGTACGCCAGGATGATCTTCTTCATTGTCATATATCTAATACCTTCCCAGGCGTTCACGCCACCTCTGCGCCGAAGCGACAACGACCTGGAGCACGACCACCAAGCCAAGGCAAACTTATTCAAAGAGACGTTCTTCCCACCCCAACCTGATGTGGATCTGTCCGACACTGCAAACCAAAGGTACAGCGACCAACTTACCTTTCCTCCTATCACAGAACAGGAGATAACTCGAGCAATCGGATCCATGGCCGCCAAGAAAGCACCGGGACAGGACGGCATCCCGGCACACTTACTACAACTACTGCTCCCCTACCTGACACCCCATCTACTACAGATCTACAACGCATCCCTGGACCTACAATACTGCCCAGCGCACTTCAGACAATCCAAGACGGTGGTGCTACCCAAGCCCAACAAAAAGGACCGGTCGGAGGTGAAATCGTACCGCCAGATAGCCTTGCTGAACACCCTTGGTAAAGCCTTGGAGTCCATCCTGGCAACAAGGATCTCTCAGGCGGTCGAAGAACACCAGCTCCTCCCACACACGCATGTAGGGGGAAGAAAGGGAATGTCAACGGAACACGCGCTTCATGGACTGATGGAGCTGGTCTATCAGTCTTGGGACAACGATCAGGTAGCCAGCCTCCTCCTTCTGGATGTAACAGGCGCCTTTGATCATGTCTCTCACCCCAGGCTTCTGCACAACCTGCGCAAGAGAAGGATGGATGAAAGAATAGTCGGATGGGTAGCGAGCTTTCTACGAAACAGGACAACTACTATACCGCTCCGGGAGTGCACAACAGAACCTCTCCATGTGGAGACCGGGATCCCACAGGGTTCCCCGATCTCGCCAGTGCTCTACCTCTTCTACAACGCTGACATCCTGGAGGATGCGCCTCTCCGGGTTACCGGAGCAGCGGCCGGAGGTTGGATCGACGACATCTACTTCTTCACCAGCAGCTGCACCACCGACGAGAACTGTAGGAAGTTGGCAAGAATGCACGAACGGGCGGAGGCATGGTCGGCCACGCACGGATCAAAATTCGACCTCAAAAAATACCAATTCATCCACCTCACGCGAAGTCCAAGGAGATACGATGTACAACGGGCCTTGACCATATCAGACCTAACGATTGCTCCGGCGAAAGAAGTCCGCTACTTGGGTGTCATGTTGGACCAGCAGCTTCGATGGGGCCCTCAGATACGGCATATTGAAAATACGACGTCACAAACGCTAAATGCGTTGAGGTCCCTGGCAGGCTCAACGTGGGGGTCAGCGTTGGTTACGCTGCGGCAGGCGTACCTGGCCATAGTGGTCCCACAGATCACGTATGCTTGTTCCGTGTGGCATACGCCACGAGGCGAAAGAGGGCTCACAGAAAAGATGCGGACGACCCTTGACAGGATTCAGCGAGAAGGAGCAAGGATCGTAGGAGGGGCATACCGAGCAGCGTCGGGTGCGGCCCTGGACGTCGAGCTCTTCATAAAGCCCCTGCGTCTGCAGCTGGAGGAGCGGGCACATGACGCAGCACTGAACATCCTCACCGACAACCGGTTCCAGAACGAAGACGACAACGGCACCTCAGCATGGACCCCACCGATACGCGGAGACTCCCTCATCAGCCCACTAACGCGCCTCTACAACAGCCTCGAGACAACACTGGGAGAAGGAGCGGTCAGTCACCTGGAGTCGCGGATCCCATTCCCGGTAAAGCCGTGGTGGAGAGCGCCCACGGTCACTATCGCGGAAGATCGAGAAGCGGCGGAACGACTGCACACACACATTATCAGCGGAGCCGATCCACCACTAGCAGTCTACACTGACGGTAGCGGCATCCACGGGAAAGTGGGGGCTGCTGCATTGGCGCCGCCGATCCACACCCAAGAACTCGCTTATCTCGGCAAGGAAACGACTGCCACCGTGTATGCAGCCGAGCTTCTTGGCATTCTCATGGGCCTAAACCTAATCCTAACGTCAGACCGGCGCAGAGCAGCGATCTTCACGGACAACCAGGCAGCCCTGAGGGCTCTCCAAAACCCCAGAAGATCATCCGGCCAATCCATACTTCGGAGGATCATAGATGCTCTAGAGAGGGTCCGCTCCC